AAAAACATGAAAAGGAAGTTCACAAAAACTACGTGATTTCGTGTAAAAGTTTAGGGCGTTAGACTAGAGAGGATTTCGGTTTCTGCTTTCTACAATTGCTGCTGCCCGCCGTTGATTCTCTTTGATTTGCTTCCATTTTTCGTGAGCTCCAAGGACGAAATTGAAGCGAAATTCGATAGATCGATCGATTTTCGACCTTTGTCTTCCGTATGTTTCTTGTATGAGCCGATTTGATTTTCTTCTGCTTCGTAATCGTCTTTCTTAGTTTTTCGGTATAAAAGAAGATGAAATCCTGTTCATCGGAGAGAATCGGAGTTAGACAGTACAATAAATCGGAACTTCCGCGGCTGCGGTGGACGCCGGCGCTTCATCGATACTTCGTTCAGACCGTCGAGGTCCTTGGTGGAAGAAATCGTAAGTTTTCGTGAAGCTTTTTTGTTCTTTTGTTTTTACTTCAATGGCGTTCTGGCTTGGAATCAGTAACTGTTTCAGAAAGTAGGAGAGAAGAGTATGTGAAGCGCGTTCGTATTGGAATCTTGTTTGCCTTTTTCTGAAACCTGACTTGTTGCAGAAGCAACGCCGAAAAGAATACTGCAAATGATGGGAGTGAAAGGACTGAAGATTTCACACATAAAGAGCCACTTACAGGTACCTTTACTAAACACTAATCTCTTCATCGCTATCGTTGAACCGACTGATATATTTTTGAAAATTAAACTACATTTCATCTTCAATTTGAAAAAAAACTTCACCGTTTTTACTTTTTATTTTTATGTACAGTTCGGTACGATCATTCTTGATTCAAAACTCCGACTGTGAAGTGATTCCAGATATATATGTGTGTGTGAACGACTAATTGAAGTCTTGTTTGATTATGTCTAAGCTAATTTTTCATCGGTGTGTTTTGATTTACAATTTTGAGTTTGTAATATGTATAACTTGTTAGAATCTGCTGAAACTCATAAACCTACCACAAAACCATACGGAAAACTATGAACAAACACTTTTTTGTGCTCGATCTATACAATCCAAACAAGTTTGTTGCGTAAATTTGAATATTCTAACTCCTAATTACATAGAAACTCAAATTTGGTAAAATTAATGAGCCAAACATGATCTGTAATCAAAAGTTTTTTCACAACTGAAAAAGACAAATTGTGAGCAGAAATTAACAAGGAATTTGTTCAAATATTGGAATCAGGAGTGTGGATTCTCTCTCTCTCTCTCTCTTTCTCAAAACGTGAAAATGCATTAAGCCAAACAGATAAGATGATAAGAATACTAGTAGCTTTCGTAGGTAGGAGTGGGACATGGTTTTAATTAAAGAAGCTCTTTACAAATTAAAAAAAGAGTTAAGTTTAGGTTAGGTACATTCCACACAGCAGGAGAGAAAAGTGGAGAGAAAAGTAGCATTTAGTTCAATTAAATATGAAATTAAGACAAAGAAATAGAACAATTATGAGTTCTTGCATGGCGACGCTACTCATTTTCAATCATTTGTTGTATTCTGAAAAATAACTTCTCATGATTTTATTTTTATTTTGTTGAATAATTATTTATGTTAATTTTAGATGTATAGGAGTATGAAATTAGAGCATGGCAGTAGCTGCGAGCATGTAATGTTGAAACAAGCCATGGAGCAGACAAGAAGAAGAACATTACATTCTTCTGATATCAAAATCTTCATGTCTTCAGTCTCCTCTTCAAGTGGGTATGTTCATCAATCTTCTTCACATTATCATGCCATTCTTATATCGTTTCTCATAAAATTAATGACATTTTTCACTACAATATGAATTTGCGACAACCCTTATTTTAGTTTTTTTTTTTAAATTATTACTTAGCACGGTTATTTCATATCTTTTACATGCACAGCCTCGAAAGTATCTATATATCTTTAGGAATGTCTTCGAATACAAAAATAAATTCAAAAGCATTATTTATTTAGAGACTCACAAAAAAAATTAGTCAACATATTTAAAGGTAATCATCAACTTTCCATAAAACATTATTTCGAACTTTGCGTTTAAAAAATTATTGAACAATATAGACAAAATTTTGGAACTAGAGATAAGGTTAGGTATTGGAATTCAAAATTTCAAAATCTGAGGAGTTTTCTTTTTTAACCTACAAAGTTTATGGACTAGATCTCAGATGAATTTGATAATTTAGAGGTGAAAATAGGGTTTAAATTCTCTTAATCTTTTTTGCAAGGGAGTACACATTTAAGAGAAAAAATATATATATTTCCAATATTTTGCAGGATATTAAGAGAAGAAGAAGAGTTCAATAGGAGCAATGGAAAGCACGACTCTTCGTCCAATATAGAGGACAGAATTATTTCTCAACAGGTAATTAACGCTTCAATTTTTTTTTTTTTTTTTTTTTTTTTGAAGTATGATATTCAATTATTGCATTATAGAGTCCCCATCATTTGGTAACATTTTTTAAAAAAAATCGAAAATATTCCTAATACATTAGCAATTTATTTGTATTACAACCAACTTTGAATAAACTATTTTAAAATCTTAACTAAATTTTTAAAAACTAAAAAGTTTGTTATTTAATTTGCATTAATTTTTAGGCGAGAAAATTTTCAGAGTCAATCATGTCTAATGTGGTCGTTATTTTAGTAAATAATTGTCATATATAAAAGTTTTTTTTTTTAATTTTTTTTTACCATTAATTAAATTCGTTTTTATTCACTTTCTTCCACTAATATTTTTCTTAAGAAGCTGAGTTGGTTTTGGGTTTTATAGGGAACATCTTAGATAGATTTGTAGAAAAAAAATTTCTGAGTTTCTCTGGCTTTCTCTAGCCATTTTTCGACCATTTTTATCCACTCCCACCGTCTAATTTCCATTTATCTTCTTCCATAAAGGAAACAGCCACTTTCCCGCTAGGTGAGAGTGGTGACAGTACTTTTCCATATATTAATTAAGAAATTTTAGAGGTCTTATTTTATAAAAAAAAAAATTTGAACTTTTAAATTTTATATCTGTTAAAAGATTTTTTTTTTTTTTTTAAATCTTTAAATTTTTAAACTTTAAAACAAACCTTTAATTTTGGGGCTAACAAGTTTATGTCATTTTTTAAAAATGAACTATATTAGATAAAATATGAAATTTATGACTACAAAAATCTAAACTTTTAATATTAAGTTTGTGAATTTAAAAAAATGGTTAAAAAATTTAAGGAACTTAAAAAAATTATTAGGCAATTAAGTTTAAGTTTATTCAAATAACTAAGTAATTTGTAATTTAACTTAATATATATTTTTTTAACATTAAAAAGGAACTCAATATTTGCTTTATACATGAGTCGAAAGACACTATCATATGATCATATCTAATTTTAGGGTACATATTCCATTGTAAGCATTTTTCTTCTCATTGAATGTGCTTTTATTTCAAACCCATGCGTCATCATCCATCACCTTCTTCTCCCCATCTTTTGCCAATCTTTACCGGTTGTGTTTGTTTGCTGGATTACCGACGACGTTTGGAATCAAATCCAACTATGTTCCAATGCTTTATTTTACGACTTTATACAAAAAGTTCTAAACTATATTTCAAAGTTCTCTTTCTCTCTCTCTCTCTCTCTCTATTTATTTATTTTTTTTTTTTGGCACGTTGAAAGGAAAATATATACAACTGTGACTTGAACAAACTTTTTTCTCGAAATAGTTTATTACTCTAAATATGGAAGAGATATAACAAAAAAGGGAATATTTATTGATTTTGTTTGTTTGTTTGTTTGTTTGGTTGGGTATCCTATTTTCCAAAAACAACAAACATACTCTTCTCGTTTTTGTGTTTTCTATTTCTGAAAACCAGAAGTGCCGAATAAATTTCTATAACAATTTCTGATTTCTACTTATTATTTTTAGAAAGTGGGAGGGAAAGAGAAAAAGTAAGAGAGGGCGAGGGAATTTTTAATCAAAATTCCAATTTCCAAATTTTGAGAAATTTTTGTTTGACAAGATGTTTTACCTACCTATTATTATTTAATTTTCCTATAAATAGAAAAAGCATCACCCCTATTTTATATATATATCCTAACTCTTAATTGATGATATGCATCTAAACCGAAGTTCGGACATATAAAACCAACAAAATTCTAAGATGAAGAAAGAAACAATGAAAAATTAGAATTAACCAACATTTGAAAATTCGTTAATTGCAGGATTCAGATTCAAGTTTGGAAAGCAGGATGTCAGAAGAGGTGGAATGCATTGGTGGGTCAATGTTAGAGGACCAAACTTGTGAACTTTCACTATCCCTCAAACCCACTCATCATTCCCCTATCACACAACAAATTCTAGAGAGACAATTACAACTATGCCCCACCATACCTCATCATCAGCATCCCAACACCTCTCCTAATTTTGTACGACCTAATGAATTCCCTCATCCTCATCATATCAATTTGGACCTAACCATATGAACAATATCTTCATCCATCATAGCTTTTAGGTATTTTATTAAACCTTTTTTGTGGATTACATGTACTCTATTGTTTCTTTCTTATGTTCATAAAAAAAAATGATAAATATATGTTAGACAAACTTTTTATTTAGTTTTCTCAATGAATTTAAATCAGCTAAATCAGCTTGGGTGAACCTCAAGACTATTTTCACGAAATAAATACCTAACTTTACTACATTTGGTCATCTAGGCAACCCTCATAATATTAAGGATTGACTTTTCATTAAACAAACTACATTCAGTGGCTACTTTAAACCAACTTGTGTGCATCTCTCTGACTATTTTCTAGAAATAACTACCTAACTTTAATGCATCGGGCTGTCAAAGCAACTCCCGTAATATTAAAGATCATTAGCTCGACTGACTCTACATGAAGAAACAAGTTCTAAAAGGATGTGTTATTAAGTGGCGAATGGCATGAGAGCATTGCATTGATTTCAAAACATCCTTCCCTACATATCTACAGGAAACAATCATATAATTATGCATCAAATTATACCTTTTTTAAAAAAAAAAAAAAAAATTATTTTGCCTTCTAAATGCTATCTATTTATGTACTTGTTTAACATGAAATTGTACAACTTCAACATGTACAAGAAAGAGACTTTTTTTTTTTTCAGTACCTTTTACTGGGTGGCCTAAATAGCAGGAAGGTGTGTTATTCCGTTCATTGTCTCTTTGCTAATGTCTTTTTCAATCCTCTGAAGATTTTCGCAAACCACATCAAGTTCATGACTGATAATACCAATGGAACAACAAACACCAAAAGTTGCCCGAAAGCGTGCATCTGGAGAACCTGTAAAGTTCAGAAGACGAGTTCTTAATTCATTTTCTCAAGCAATTAAGACACGAATCCGTTTGCAGGCTGTTACTGATGAGAATAGATACATTACATATATTCTCAGATTCATTGAAAAAAAAAAAAAACTAGATGTAACACACAAATAATGTTTCTAATCACTCACGATATTTTGATCGCTTTATCTAAATCACAAGGAATTTTGAATGGGGATACTCAACTAATCTGACACCCGGAAAAAATCAAACAATCCAACCCAAACTATAAAGAATAGATTGGATTAATTGAATTTTCCATTCAATTTGAATCGATTTTTTTAACAATCAAATTTTCGAATCAGTTAACCAGCTCAGAAAGATAAATATTGATTCAACTCAAAGTTAACAATAAACCAACCAGCGTCCACACATTCCATTCCCATCTTTCATATTTTTCTCATCATATTTCTCTCTCACCACCTACATATTCACTCCAGATCTCTACCAATTCGATTTCGGTCCAACATTCTCTCCCTTGCTACGTGCAGAGAATTTTATTTTAAAAGAAACCAAGCCAAATATCTCTCACCCTCTAATAATCGTCTCTCTGCCTAGTTGAGAGATTTGGATGAAAGATTTTTAAACTCCTCATTCATCTTTCTAGCTTCACTGGGCTCTATCATCCCCGACTTAATAACCCGAAGACCCAACTATCTCGTGTTGGGTATTTGGGAGTCGATGTCAAGTTATTGGAGTAAGTGAACACCAAATTTTGGGACTCAAATTATCTCTTTGCTTCAATCAGGTGTTGTCTGTCTAGTATCTTTCGTATTTTTGACCAATTTTGAACCACCTTTTTGCTACCCTTTCGGCAGGTGGAATATCACATCCCTCCCCTTTTTATGACATTTTCTCAATTAGTCAATAGTTTCTTACAGAATATATATATATCTATATATATACTGACTAATTATTCTAAGTTTTAACATTAAATTATTAAATAAATAAAGAATATAAAATTAAATGTAATCATCAGACACCGTAGGGAGGCTCTGGTTTAAATGGCAGCTATGATCCATAATTATTCTCCGAAAACACAAGATTAGTCTCACATGTTAAAGCACTTGAAAAGGGGACCCCAAAGAGAGAGATGATGCTAAAATACTTCTTATCGCAAAAATCAATACCATGATTCATAAGTGAGGGTTGGTAAATTTAGACAGAATGATTCGGTAAAGAGAAATTCCAAAATTTTCTGAAATGAGTAGGCAACAAAAACTTTCTCCAAGTCTCTAAATGTGGAATGTGAATTTAAACTTCCAACGTCAACAAAAGAAATAAATGTTTTTAACGGTTGAGTTATACTCGCATCGGTAAATCTTTTTCTTATTTTTGGCAATTATAGTAGGAGCTCTCAGTAATTGGAAAAGTTTTTTTATAACTTCATCTAGATGGTGTTCTCTTTCTTTTTGCTTTATTTATTTCTTTTTAAAAAAAATCATAGCATCAAAAATATTTCCTAGAAAAAAAACTAAACAAGCAAATAAATATATAGATGTGCCACATGTTTCATTTGGTGCATGCAATCCGACGAGTATGTACTTTTAAACAATTATATATTTGTAATATATTTGTAATTCGATTCCCAAATGATCATATGAGCAGTAACAGATTGCAGATGCTTTGCCAATCAATGTGCAAGCAGTAGTGTACTTCAATAAATAATTGACTGAATATTATCAAGCTTAGAAAAGTAAGATTGATGAGTACCTGATTCAAGTGCAAGTAGACATGGTAAAACATGTACATGAACAGAAGAATTCTGGCAACCTGAAAAGAAAATATTGGCTAACCGCTTACGTATGAAATACATAGGGTTAAATTGCTCTGTTCGCTACTCTCCATGGTTATGGAACAGACTTCAAAAGAAATATATAGTAATCAGATATTTTGACTCACCAGCCAAGCGAAGAATATTACAACCCCATTTATGAGGTATGCCTTTGACTTCTTCATTCCAGCTGTGTCAAGGTACCTACGCAAATTGGGAAAAAAAAAAAAGAAAACTTTTCTGAGGAAATGCTATATATTAAGACACAGAGATATATCCAGTCCCTTGACAAACAGAAACGAACAAATTCTGAAGTCAAGATCAAATCCTATTTCACTTGATAATTTATTAATAGCAAATCACCATCTCAAATTGATCCCAGGAGTTGTCGTCTCAGAGATGAGAACCATGAAGGTGTAAAGTTGCCCCTCACCCGTCAACATGGCATAGGCCACAGCTACGAGAGAAAGAAGATGATGTATCACCTGGAAAACACAACATTATCACCTTCCATGAATAACAAATTTCCCACTCTCTCTTTCCCCTAAAGAACACAAGATAATATGACAGGAATATAAAACAATCGGCAATATTTAAAGGGAGAATGCACTTACATACTCCATTCCACCAAGGGAAGGATAAAACCAAGAGATCATCCCAAGATCAGTTATGAAGTAACCAACAGAAACCTGCAGAAGTGTCATCAAAGTTATAACTCTGCCTTGAGTTCAACAACTACATTGACTTTTGAAATAGAAGTTAGTGTATTATCCACTAAGCTATGTTCTGATTGGCAAAATTTTAAGTCAATTCTGGATATAATGGTTGGTGTTGCAGGTTGCTGGTTGCAACTAAAACATGAAGAGCTTAAGTTTAAAAAGGTGGACATGAGAAACAGAAGGAAGATAGATAGAGATCGTCCAATAACAGAAAAGGCAGTTCAAGTTGGCCACTCCCCTCACTCTACCTCCCTCCTCCAAAAGATAATAAAACAACTAAAAATCCAAAGTCACAAGAGCATCTGTTGGAGAAATTGAGTCAGCTTAGATATGCTATTTTAACGTAACATCTCCAAAAAAAATCAACATAGATTTTCAGACTGCTTGAAAACACAGCGGTTTAAATATTTTCAATCAAGAGTATTATTTATGAACATGCAACATTAGAGAACACAACTCTCTGTTTCGCTCCCAACATTCCATTCACTACTTCCAGCATAAATAAAGCTTAATACCACTTTTGTCTTCTACATGAGAAACTAGGGATTATTATGACCGATGATTTGATCGGCTAGTGCCAACAATCTCTATCATCTGCTCCAATAACTTCTGGAAAACACTAATCTCAAATGTACACATTTCCTTTCCATCCTCATCCTTAGGACCTGATCAGGACATATTTTTCAAGAGTTTGCGCTAGCCCCTGAAACTCTTAACCTTTCATCTTTATTGTTATCACAACATGGTTTTTATTCTGGACAAAGCCGAGGCACTTCTTAACATCTACAACATATACAAAGTTTCCCACACTATGGTAATAACCTACTCATATATATGCAGAGATTGCACTTACTCCGAGGCAAAATGTCGATATTGTTGAACTACGAAAGGTAATAAAGCCAAAATATCGGTCCGAATAGAGATCAGACAAAAACACCACGTACAATGATGCTGCTGTGATGAAAATAGCATGGAGGGTTGACATTGCCCTGTAAAAACAGCAAGTACTCATAAAAAAAATATTGCAAGGAAAAATAAATAAATATATGCAAGCAAGGGAAAGATCATTTACCGGTTGTTCCACTCCATTCGCTGAATCCTAGAAAGGTTAGAATAACTCTTGAAGTAAACACCGCTGATCAAATCAGTCAGATCATAGACCTGGAAACAAAGGGTTGATTTACAAATGACCAGCAAAAAAAAAAAAAAAAAAGGCATGCAAAATCACACAAGAAGAGAAACTAATTGCTAGCATATTATCAACCTTTTAACATCATGATGATTGAACAGAAGATTAACTCCATGCAAAGTACCCACACTGAATAAGATAAAAAAGAGCCATAGATGACGGGAAGGTACCAATTTGCTAGCAAGTATGCCTGCAGGAATGGAAATGTATGGTACAACAGGATCTGATAGTACAAGATACTTAAGTAGTTGCTCGGCCTGGCTTTGATATGACTTCAGTGACATGATTGCTTGTTTCAATCTGATGCCACGTTTTCAAAAAGAAATAGCAAGAGGCCCAATTCCTCCAAATTATTTAACTTCTTCTCTACCTCTTTATACCTGTCTTCAAAATAATAAGTCAGAACTTAACCAACTTAATGAAGAATACTAGAGAACATGGGAGAGTTAAAAACAAGTAACTAAGCAAGATCAGTGCAACAAGTCAATGGTCTGAGTGGAAACAAAAAGGGCACATCATATTATCATCATCTGCTATTCGATTACTTCCCATTTTAGTTTTATTCTATGTAATATCCTGCAGGAGTGCAAAGAGAATTCACAATTTATCTATATATTTTTCCTTAAAAAATGCTGATGGCAATAATTCAAATAACAAGAGCGTTATTCACATTCACCATCTATAAAGGTCAACCCAAAACACTAGGAGAAACTAGAAAGCATTAAGCAGAGAGTACAAACAAAAATTTGCTTTTAAATGGATGGCTAGACTGTTGTGGCAGTGTGCTCTAAAATCCTAGTTAAGGAATTGTGGCTGGAGAGGTACTATAGGCTTATCAAATTTAAGGCCTCCTTGTGAAGCTTTACTTCTGTAATTAATAAATAGTAATTCCCCCCTTTTCCATGAGTGGGGAATGGGGTGGTTATACCATTCAAAACTCATCTAGGCAGAATTATTTTCCTTCCACTGCCAACCGGAAGAACTTTTTTCAAACCATGGAATTTTACTTGGGTTAATGTCTCATCTCTCATAATAATTTTATGCTATCTAATGAAAAGTTTCTGTTTCCTACTAACTTGAGGGAAGGAAAGAAAGAGTGTTCAGCAAGGGTGGCCATACTTTAGGGGATAGCATGTGAGATTCTTATTTGCATTGTGTCAATGTGCAAAAGGAAGCAGACAGAAGACAAATCATTAGTCATTACAAAGTATTGGCCTACAGGCCTGTTTCAATAAAATACTACATAATTGATAATTCAGAAAACTAATCAGCTCGGTCAACATTGGACACAACAACATATGAAGATTTTATTCCTAGTTTTTACTGGTAGAAATTGGGCATACACTTAAATGTTACGACTATTAGGTCCATTGCTCAGCTATCCACCTTCCAGATGAACATAAAATGTTAATTAGATTAAATACCTAGGACGTGCTGTTAGTGACACATTGAAACAATATTGCATGTTGCTAAGATTGCTAATAACATATCAAAATCTCTAAATGTAAAGTACAGCCAAGCTTCTAAAATCTCTTAGTCACTGGCTGATCATACAAAGCACCTCCTCAACCAACATAAGCAAACAATCCAATAAAGTTCTACAAGAATGATAGTACATGACAACCTCAACCAAGAAATTGAAGGATAAAAACTACCAACACAATTATAGTGAATTGGTCAAGAGTCTCACGGTATGTAAAATTCACATTTACACTTATCACAAAAATTGAAATACAAAGAAGATAGTCCTCCAAAGACACCAAAAACAACCGAAGTCTAATATAAATTCCTAATACAGAAAAAAGAAAAAAAAAAAAAAAAAATCAATCACACTGAAAAACATAAATTCATTAATTTTAAAAACAAAAACAAAAGAAACACGGATTAAGCATGAAAGATAAAGTTCTACACGACAAAGGAACTGAAATATAAAACTAACCTAGCACAAGCCGAGAACTAACTTCAGAGTAGCGCAGTATGTAAAATTCACACTACACTAATACAAAAATCAAATCGCGAAGAATCATCCAACAACATCAACAGCAATAAGCAAGTTTCACAAATGCAGACCAACATCAATTTCTAATCCATCAACAAATGCAATCACGCTGAAAGAAGAAAGAAATAAACGTGTAGAATTCAAATTTACACTAATCACCGAAATCCAAACACGAAGATGATCGTCCAAAAACATCAGCAAGTTTCACAAATGCAGTCCAACATCAATTTCCAACGCAGCAACAAAAGCAACCAATCACACTGAAAAAAGAAAGAAATAACAAGTAGAATTCAAATTCACACTCATCAAGAACATCGAAAAACGAAGAAGATTGTCCAAAGCATCAACAGCAAACAGCAAGTTTCACAACAGCAGTCCAAACACCGATTACTCAATCCTAACGCAGCAACAAAAGCAATCAACCAAACTAAATGAAAAAAAAAAAAAAAAAAAGAAGCAAAAACACGGATTAAGCACAAAACAACTCAATTAACAACACAATAAAATAATAATAATAACAGAGAAATGCGCGTTCGAACAGAACATCAACCAACACAAATCGATAACCAAAAATCATCAAAGAGATCACCGGAACCAGAAAAACTCACCAGAAAATCGCCAGAAAACGCCGCGACGCGCTGAGAAAACTCGTCAACCAATCACGACTCCGTAGAGAGAGGAAAAAGTAGTAGAATCATGGAAAATGAAAATGAGGAAGAATTAAGAAAGCGAATTGATAAGAGGACTATAGAAATAAGAAATTTTCAGTTAGATATGGAAGATGGAGAGAGAGAAGGATTTGGCTGAGGTGAGGTGATTAGGCACAAAGCAACGCACAAACAATACGAAGTTTCAGTCTCTTCTTTTCTTACGCGACGCTGCACGGTGCGAAGATTCCAGAGAAGCCCTCTTATATACCATCCACGCAATGCCTCCATATACATCATTATAATATAAATAATCCTGTCAATACACTCCATTAAAAGAAAAGAACCCTAAATTAATAATAAAAAAAAATAATCCTAAACTTTCCCTTTTATTTTAAAAAATAAAAATTTTAAAATATTTTAGCGAAGCCCTTTTGATTTTAAAATTACCTTGTTTCAAAAATAAAAATTAAAAAATATATATTAATAACATTAAAAAAAAATTAAAACTTCAAAAACACCATCCATTTAAAAAATAAAAATAAAAAAGTAAAATTAATACCTTTTTAGATTTTTTTTTTATTAACTGTAACAATTTTTTAAAACTTTTTTTTTTAACTTTTAAAATGTATTAAAACTTAGAGAGTATTTTAAAAAAAAGTTGATGTTATTTTGTAAATAATTATTGAGTGGTTTTTTTTTTATTAATTTAACTTTAAAAATGTTTTCGATAAATAAATAAATAATATTATTTTCTATTATGCTCGGTTGTTAAGGTTATAAAAGTTAGTATTTTGCCTCTTACGGTTAAAAATCACTAACCGATTGAATACATGACAATTAGTTGTCTGTGTGTTAATGACGTTACTTATTATATTTATATAATTTTGTAGCTAGATAAAAAAAAAAAAATGAACTCGTTTTTTATCCAATCAGCTAATATTAAATATCACTTGAATAATTATGATGGTATGATTATAAATGTCTCCGGGAAGTTTAGCTAAATGAGAGAAATTTATCATCGCTTTCTCCCTATTTCCAATTTAAGTTGAGCGTTCGATATGTTGACAATACATGCTTTCATCTTAGATAGGTTTTTACCATTTCATATTGGATCAGTACAAGGGTGTATGACTGTTCACCAAAATCGTGTCTTCACTTGCCAGGGCTAAAATGCCCAAAAAAATGTACTATAGAGGGATATGACTAGTTTTGTTGTCTTTTTGCTTACATCACATATAACACTAATTTAAATCTCTCAAATCAGGGCTAGAGGCTCAAGCATACGTCACTTAGTCGTAGACGACGCAAAAATGAATTGGCTTAACTCACTTCTTGCTGGAGAGTGAGTGCAGAACAATCGCAAGTCCACCGAAGATAAAACAAATTATTAATTAATTTGAGTTTGGTATACAAATTTATTTAAAATAAATAAATGGAAATGCTAGAAACGTGCAAAATATTTGAAAATGTAAATGTGGAGGTTGGAGTGTGAAATAATAAATTATTTCATCCCCACCATACAATAAATATGATAAATATTTAATATTTAATATTTAAAGATGATTTTTTAGGTACTCACAATAATTTTGTCACCCCTACTTTCGCTAATAATGAGACTTTATTAGCTGGTCTTATAAAATTTGGCTACACAAACTTTATAGTAAAATAATAATATTTGTTTGGGACCATTTTTTTTAATAAAATAATTAGATTCTCTTTTTTTTTTTTTTTAATTTTAAAAATATTTTACTTAGTGTTTAAGAAATTATTTGAAATAAAATAAATAATTTAAAATTGTAATTAATGTGTATACATGATTAGTGGTTTGGTGATAGAAAATTGTGAGATCACACATCAGTTAGAAATGAGTGTTTGGATAAAAGTAGGGAATGATCACCCGTTTATAGTCCAAGAATACTCTCTCCATTGAGATGAGACTTGGTAAGCCCAAAGCAAAACCATGAGAGTTTATGCTCAAAGTGGACAATATCATACTATTGTGGAGAGTTGTGTTCATCTAATATGGTATCGATGCCCTAAACTTAACCATGTTAATAGAATCCTCAACAAATGACTCCAAAAATAAAAAGAAGTCGAGCCTCGAGTAAGGAGAGGGGTTGGATGAAAGTCCCGCATCGGGTAATTTAGGGAATGATCATGTCTTCATTGGAATGAGGCATTTTGGACAATATCAAAGCAAAATTATGATAACTTATGCTTAAAGTGAACAATATCATACCATCATGAAGAGTCGTGTTCATCTTACAAAGGTGGAATTGACTCTAGTTCTCAATTATCATTGATTACATAGTCTAAATTAATCGAATTACCAAATTACATAGAATACCCCTAAACGATGGGCCCAAACATAGCTGAAATTAAGGGCAATGAGTCGGGGACTATGATGTCATTTGAGCTTAGCCACAGGCGGCGGGGAAAGAGACAGAAAAACGCGTAACAGATGAAAGAAATAAAACAGATGTCGGGCCAAAAATACAATTCCACCTTCGCGAGAGTGGGATAAAGTTGTATACTCGCTTAAGAACCGTTTCAGAACGTCAGATGGCAACTGATTAAGAAACCAACGGTGAGGATAAAAATGTTCTTACAACTGGAGAGTGAATACGTTTTATTATAAATGGATTTGGATTTTGGGTGTCACTTTCCCCAATACACACCCATTTGGTTCAATTAAAAGCTTATATTTATTTGGATTTTTTTCTTTTAGTTTTATATTTATTTTTCCAAAATTTATAAAATATTTTAATTTTGTTCGGAAAAATAATATATATATATTTAGCGCCTAAAATTTATAAACATATTCCTCTAAAAAGATTTATTAAATGAAAATAATTATAATTTAAACAATTTTGAGACAATAATTTACAACGCTTCATCTCTCCGCCGCCGCCGACGGAGCAGTGAAAGAACCACCGTTAGATACAATGAAATCGATCACAGTAGAAACAATCTCATCAAAACTAACCGGCGCGGTAGTATCAACCACCAGCCTCGGAACATCTCCGACGTCGAATTCGGCACATCCGCCGTAACTTTCCAAGAGCATCTCGATTTCTCGCCACGTGGACGGCTTGTGCCAATTCGTCCGATCATCAGCGCCGCGACTCTCAAGCCTCCGCCTCCACTCCGCCAGATCAGATGGCTTACACTCGACGATGAGAAGCCGCACGCCGGCGGTGGAAGCGACATCGGTAAGATGGCAAAAGTGAGATCGGCGGGAGAGAGGCGTGTCGACGATGACGCTGAGGCCGAGGCGGAGCTGCGTCGAGGCGAGACGGTAAACAACGTCGTAGGAGAGGTCGTTGACGAGGGCGGCGGTTGATGCGGCGGCGAGAGCGGCGGCGCAGTCCTTGACGTCGTCTTTATCGATTAGGGGGATTTTGAGGAGGGAGGCTAGGGTTTGGGCCAGAGTGCTCTTGCCCGTGCCTGGATGGCCTTTCATCGCTATTAGCATTTTCGTTCTATCTTCAATTTCTTCTGTCATATTTTTCCATTTGATTTAATTTCTAACCTTTTTTTAATTATTTTATTTTATTTATTTTTTGTGGACGATGGTGATTTTTCAACAGCTTTTTGAAGATATTTAATCGAGATCTTTATAGTACTCTTAATAAATAAATAAATAAAATCAAAATACCCTTAAATTTAAAAAAAAATTAAAAAAAAAATACCATTACAGTTTCCACAATATTTTATTTATTTATTTATTTTTAATTACTCTCGACAATTAGTACCTTTAAAAAAATATTTAAAACTAAAAAAAAACATCATTAAACTTTTTAAATAATGGAAAAATATTTTTATATTAATACCTAATTTCAAAAATAATTATAGATTTTTAATAATAATATTAAAAAATTTGGAGATAATCTATAAGGTGTCCATAAGGAATTTTTGTCTAAATATTCACAGTAAATTTAATTAAGCTTTTTTTATGAAGGTAATAATATTCACTATAAATCTATTTTATAACATTTAAATAAAAGATTGAAAGTTATTAATGAAATTTTTTAAAGTTAAAAAGTATTTTAGAAAGCTATTAAAAATTTAAATATATATTTTTTAAAACAAAATACTAACCAATTCTATATAAAAAAAAATGTGTAAAATTATTTCTAATGATTTTTTTAAAAAAAAAGTTTAAAATTATTATTCAAACTTTTGAATATTTTTAAAGGTTCTTTTTTTAGTATTTAGTAGTAAATAATCAATTTTGTAACTTTATATTGGTCAAATTACAAGATTAATTTATTTCATAAACTTTTTTATTAATAAATCTTTAAACTTTAAATTTGTAAATTTTAAAAATGTTTAATAATTCTATCAAAATTTATTAAATTATTATATATATTCTATAAATAATTTTTACTAAAAATTTTGTATCCGATAAATTGGTAAATTTTAAAAAATGTTAAATAGAGTAATGAGTTGGAATAAATTCAAGAATTCTAGAGATTTATTAAATATTCTTTAAATTAAAAAATTAAATAATCACAAATTTAAAAATTTAAAAGTTTGAGAATTTATAATAGGCTTAATTGGCATGTAACAGGTAAGGAATCAAATCAACTAACATCATTGAAACTTGCTACCTGCTACCTGCTACCGTGTCTGATTCTAGCTATGCTTGTTCAAGGTGTATTGTCGGTGGTTACGTTTATTCCAAACCTTTTTTATTGTTTTCATATTAACTAGCCTTTTATTATTATAATTTATGTGTACGACGTTTTAGTCATGATGTATACACTTGTGAGATACAATTTGCCTCAAAATGTATTATAAGGAGATACGACTAGTTGTCAATTATTCCTATCAAGGCTATATGTCATCAACGCCGTTGTTGTTGCTGTGTAACATCGCTTTCTTAAATTGCTTTCCAATTTTTATTTGCCCCTATTTTCTAAATCCATATTCCAAATGCAGGGTCGGAGGCTTCAGTATACACTGTTGAGACTTATAGTGACCTAAGTTTTAGTTGATTAATTTACTCGTGGGCAAGAGTAAGTACCACACGATTATATTGTAAATACTGATAGAGTGTCGTTAAAACAATTAACACGTGAAGACATAACGTCCAAGAATGGTTAGGAGTTACTTAGAGTCCGCTCACGAGATAAGTCCAAATAGAATATAATCTCACATCAGTTACTTTTTCATACCATATCAAGTAGAATATTACCATCAAAATCCTATCTTGGTTCAATTTTCTTTATTTATATTTGAAACAATAAATTCAATTTTCAATACAACAATTTAAAAAAATTAATATTTACCATTTTCCTCTTGTAAAAAGAGTAAAAAAAGTAAAAAAAAAAAGTTAAAAATCACGTTTCCTCGAACTTTCACCGTAACAATTTAGTCTCTAAATATTTTCGTAGATGTCATCTGATCCATTGATAACTATTATTGTAGACAAACACTCTAGAAGATGTAGGTACTAATTCTAGCTTCCGGTAAAATCTACTACACATACCCTTAGCTAAGTCTTTCAGTTTGGCTGCCTATCTAAAGGTCGAAAGTGTCTAGAAAATCTTTAAGTACCCGGTTCATCAAGTCCATGAAGGTTGTAAAAGCGTTGGTTTGACTAAATAACATAACTATAAACTCGAGGCTGTCGTAACGACTCTTAAATGCAGTTTTTTCGGTATGTCTCTGTACTCTCATTCTTGTAATAGTTTGAAAAATCTTTAAATACCCAATTCATCGAGTTCATGAAGGATGCAAAGGTATTGGTCATACCGAATGACATAATCATAAACTTAGAGTGACTGTAACGGTTCTTGAATGCAATTTTCAGTATGTCTTTGTCCTTTCATTCTTCTAATAGTTTAGTGTTTCAAATTTTAACATGTAATAATTTGTACTTTAAAAATTTGCAACAACGCTCAAGTCCACCATCAGCAGATATTGTCCATAATGACCCATCACGTATCATCGTGAGTCTCACAATTTTAAAACGCGTCTACTAAAGAGAGATTTCCTATGATGTCCCACATTGGTTGGGGAGGAGAACAAAACACCCTTTATAAGAATATGAAAACCTTTCCCTAACAACGCGTTTTAAAGTCTTGAGGGAAAGCCCGAAAGGAAAAACCTAAAGAGGACAATATTTGCTAGCGGTGGATTTAGGTCGTTACAAATGATATCAGAGCCAAACACGGGACGATATGCCAACCTTCTCGCTGTTCCCCGAAGAGGTAGACATGACGCGATGTGCAAGCGAGAACGCTGGGCCTCGAATGGGGTGGATTGTGATGTCGTGATGTATTGTGATGTCCCATATTAGTTGGAGAGGAGAACAAAACACATTGGGCCTAGACATGACGCGATGTGCAAGCGAAGACGCTGGGCCTCGAAGGAGGTGAATTGTAAATGTTTGATGATTTTTTTTAGCGTGATTAAATTATTGTAAAATTGAATGTATATAAATTAAATTGTTGGGATAAAAAAAATATTTGAAAAAAAAAAAGAAAAAAAAAAGTGGATAGCCCATTTGAAAGGACGGACTGAAGAAGGGAAAAACCAGGCCCAAGCTCCACTCCCATGGCGCCCACGACGCTTCCTCTCGTCTCTCCACATTCTGTGTATGTTTTCATTCTTCCTTCTCACTCACTACATAATAATATAAGAATCCCTTCCCTCTCGCTGTGAGCTGCTTTCCTCGCTTTCCTCCACGCAAAGCCAAACCATCATCTCTTTTACTTTTCTTTTCTTTAACCCATCTTCCCTTACCAAACCCTCAATTTCCCAATCCGATTCCCTAATCTCCAATTTCCTCCGATTCTTTCTTTTTCTCGCCGGTTTCGGCTTCTGATTTTGCCATCTACGTAAAGAAACCTCCTCCTCCTTCGTTCCTTTTCTTTTTCTTAAGAAACTTCTGGTTTGCTTCGTGTGTGAGATTCTCGCCTTGGACCATCGGTATGTTCTCATTTCTTCGCTTTATTTTGTTTGATTTTTCTGCCGTCTCTGTCGGTAATGTATTTGCGTTGGAATTTTGTGTTCTATTTGATTGATTGCTTTATGATGTTTCAATGGGATTAGTGTTGCTTTGGTTCGTGATTCATCAGGTTTGGGGATTGGATTGCGCTGAATCGTGTTTTTCTAAGTTTGATTGTGTTTGCTTTAGTTATACGACGTCGTTTTCTCTCTTTTTAGCCATATAGTTTACTGCAGATTGCATCTAGAGTTCCTTTAAAGTGATGAAAGTTGATCTAACTGGATGATTGAAATGTGTTTAGATTCAGATATGTTGCTATAAGCTGTTGTTTTCGGGAATGTCGAAAACATGTTTCGATTTGGAATTATTGACTGTGTGTTCTTGCTTCTCTTGGTAAAATTTGATCTATCTGTCTGTTAAATGGGTATCTTTGTAGTTTTATGGTTGTTACTTTGGCTACATTGTCAAGCAATGAGTTCGAATTTATTGAGGGCGTTTTTTTTTTTGGTTTTGAAATTATCTGTTTATCTGTTTATTGTAGTTATATATGGGCTGAGGTGTGCATTTCATGGGAGGTTTAGAGGATGAAGAACCAGCCTCCAAACGCATGAAAGTATCGCTAGAGAAATTGAAGGGACTGTCAAACGGTTCAGCTGTGGTAGAGCGTTTGGGGGGCTCTTCAAGAGACTTGATGGCTCGCCCCCTACAATCCGAAGGGGACAGTGGTGATGTTATTGGTACTAAGGGAGTGATAAGAAGAGTAGAGTTTGTTAGAATAATAGCCAATGCATTGTATTCTCTTGGTTACGAGAAGACTGGTGCTTATCTAGAAGAGGAGTCCGGGATACCCCTATATTCTCCGGCTGTTAACGTCCTCATGCAGCAAATTCATGACGGGAAATGGGATGAAAGTGTTGAAACTCTGCAAAAAATTGGTCTACCGGATGAGCACGTTGTTCGATCAGCTTCTGTTTTGGTATTAGAACAGAAATTCTTTGAGCTTGTTGAAAGGGACGAAGTCACTGAAGCTTTGCGGACACTGAGGACTGAGATTGCTCCATATCACATTAATGAACACAGAATTCGTGAGCTCTCCTCCTGCTTGGTTGCTCCGTCAATGAGGGCTCAAGTCAATTCATACAGTCAACAAAGTGCTAAGGCCAAGGCTCGCACACAATTGCTGGAGGAATTGCAGAAACTTCTTCCTGCATCTCTTATGATACCGGAAAAAAGGTTGGAATATTTAGTTGAACGCGCCCTTTTGTTACAACGCGATGCTTGCACTTTCCATAACTCCTTAAGCAACGAGATGTCGTTGTATACAGATCATGATTGTGGGAAAAATCAGATTCCTTCTCAAACTTTACAGGTAAGAAATGTTTTTCAGACTTATAATTATCTTGTTACGCACGTACATATATTTTTGCACACATATATATACACACACATACATATATTTTCGCATTCAACTGTCTTTAATTGGCTTCATTAGATGTTTAAAGGGATAATGTTATGATATTGTCAAATAACTCTCGACAAGCATAGTGCAATAATTGACTTGTACTCTCGACCAAGAGGTTAGAGGTTTGAAACTCCCTTCCCCAATATTGTTGAACTAAAAAAAACAATAACTCTTTAGCTGTTGTAGCAGAATAATTAGTAGAGCTAGAAGATTTCGGTATACTTTATTTTTTCTGATTAAAAATTCAACTCTCACTAAGTAGCATGAAATACGGGAACAGACTGAGGACAAAGAAGGGACCCTCAGACAAGACATAACAAAAATTGTTTAGAATAAGGAAAGCTCAAAGGGAAGCTTAGTGTTGTAGTGAGAAAAATCTTGAACTTTTCAACGCTCGAAAAACCGTGAAGTTCCTTTGTGCAACACTATATAGGTTGAGTTTTCGTGCCAACATTTGAGTTATAGTTTACAATAATCCTCAGTTGATTCATTCATAAAACTATTTTGGCACGATATCATATTGCTTCAAGTATGGCATCTTATAGGATGTGTGCTTCAGCAGTTACGGTTGGGGCAACTGTTTTGTTTTCGCAACTGCTTGTGGTCGTTTCTTTCTGCTGTTAGCTGAATCTTTTAGTTTTCTTGATCCGAGCAGGTGTTACAAGATCACGACGATGAAGTTTGGTTTCTACAATTTTCTCACCATGGGAAATACTTGGCTTCATCTTCCAGTGACCGATCAGCGATTATATGGGAGGTAATTATAATGATCACTTGAAAAAGTCCTTATATTAAGTTTTTATGCATTTTAAAGTCTCTGTCGCACAAATTAACTTCTGTTCTTTTGCCAATTTTGTTGTTTCTAGGTAGACTTAAAGGGAAGACTTTCTTTGAAGCACAAACTGTTAGGTCATGAGCAACCGATCTCTATGGTCTCGTGGAGTCCTGATGATAGTCAGCTACTCACATGTGGGGTGGAGGAAGCTGTCAGGCGTTGGGAAGTCGCCACAGGCGAGTGCCTCCATGTTTATGAAAAAGCTGGTCTTGGACTGGTTTCTTGTGGCTGGTTTCCCGATGGAAAGCATATACTCGCAGGCGTTAACGATAAGAGTATCTGCATGTGGGAATTAGACGGGAACGAGTTGGAAGGTTGGAAGGGTCAAAGAACTCTTAAGATATCCGACTTGGAAATAACCAATGATGGGAAGAAGATTATCAGTATCTGTAGAGAGACTGCAATATTGCTGCTCGACAGGGAGTTGCTCATCGATAAATTGATCGAAGAGGATCAAACAATAACATCTTTTCAATTGTCGAGGGATAATAAGTTCCTACTAGTAAATCTTATGAACCAAGAAATCCATCTGTGGAGTTTGGAAGGCGAGGCCGAGTTAGTTACAACATACACAGGTCACAAGCGCACCCGATTTGTGATTCGGTCCTGTTTTGGAGGGCTCAACCAGGCGTTTATTGCAAGCGGTAGCGAGGACTCACTGGTACAGTTCTTAGCCTGTCCTTTTAACTTCCATTCTATATACTCCGAATTTTCGTTCATTCAAGTTGCTTGATTATAGTCGAGTCACATTAGCTTTTCGTATATATAAAACACGACCCGACCATACATGTCAAGATGTCAAGTTGGGTAAAACACGAGCCAGGCTTGTTGGAAACGCATGAGAATCTCGTCGAAAGAAAGTTCTCTTCACCGTTTTCTTCTTCTTGCTTCTCGCTCGATCTAAAGTCCGAAGCGAACTTCTTTCCACGAGATTCTCTAACGTTTCCAACCGAGTTGTTTGTTTGTTCGTTCATTCGTTTGGATTGAAGTCCGTTCTTGTAGGTAGTTTGAGGTCTCTTTTTCGGGTTCTTATGGTGTTTATTATGTGTGTTTTTGGATATACATTGTGGGCAGGTATATATATGGCATAGAGGGACAGGGGAGGTAATAGAGGCATTGGAAGGGCACTCAGGGTCAGTGAACTGTGTGAGTTGGAATCCTGCAAATCCACACATGTTGGCATCGGGGAGTGACGACCGTACGATTAGAATATGGGGGTTAAGAGGGGTGGATGCGGTGAAATGCAAGAATAATATTGAACAATACAGCAATAGCAATGGCGGCATCCTCCATTATAGCAATGGCAATGGCAATGGAGGAACTTGTTGAAGAACAAAATGCTTCCTTTTTTCTTCACTCACACCCATTTGTAACCCTTTTTATTCTGTAAATACTCTTCCCTTCAGTTGTTTCTTTCCAAGTTGACATTCAATGTCCTTCAATATGCATCATGAAGTCATCTCTATTTAATAAAATCCCCCTTTTTTAAAGAAAAAAAGTAAGTACTATCCAATTTTTGGTTTTGCCTTACCTTGATGAATGACGAGAAAGACTCAGAAAGGGGAAATTGACGAGTCTCGAGAGACTCGTGAGGTGCTGTTCTCCTCTACCAACCGAACATAATTTGTGTGACATTAATTAAGATTTCAATCCTGAGAATGGTGTTCTTCGCCAACTGAACTAATTATCAAAGGCAGGGTTTGATCCTATGATTTGTGGGTTAGGGCCCACCACGCTTCCACTTTGATTTGAATGTTAAAATATTATTGAATTTATTATGATGTTATATTGAAAAATGGACCTTATTCATTAAAAAAAAAACTTTTAATTTAATGTTTAATAGCATTTAACACATGAACCTTTTAATTTAATGTCTAACAAACATGCTCGAGTCACCAACCGGTTGGTTCAAAACATTGGTCCAACCCAACTCAACCCAACCTAATTCGTGTACAACCCTAATTACGATATTTGAATGTCAAATATTCATCTCACTTAATCCAATTAAAATGACCCTACTCAAGTCTACTTTTAATTATAAATTAAACACTTGATTTTATACAAAAATAATAGTGAATAAATAATATGCTCAAGCCCCAAATTGTTATCAAAGTTGTCCTTATATAGAAAAAGGCATACATTCAAAGCCAAAAAGACAATCTTTCTATTTAAACAATTCTCACCCAAATAATGATATCTCTCTTTCTCACAAAAGATTAAAAAAAAAATAATAATAATAAAAGGAAGAGGAATATTTCCGTAAAAGGAAAGAATATACTTTATGATGAGAACTATCCTCGGAACCTGGCATGATTTTAGGTACTTTTTCAGTTCGGACAGAGTTGGATGTGTAGTATTTTCCACACATAGCCCTCGCATGCGCCCATGAATCCACTAGGTGGGCTCATGTATCAACTGGGTCTCGCTTTTCGGGCTAGCACTCGCTAACGAGCTATACGACACCATGAAGGCAAAGAGCCTACATAATATCATAGCAAATATAAATGTCGTAAGATACGTGTCTGTACCAATCATAACGAGGAAGTATCTAGATGCATATGATACTAACAAAATGTCTGAGGTTCCCATAACTTAAAATCATGACTTGAATTTACAATGTAAGTCAAACATCCATTCATTTAGAACATAATGAGTCTATGAAATCATGCATACATGATTCCTGTCAAGTCTTTCATACATAACATAGCATAATATGACAGAGTGTACAGAGGTTTATGCATCATAAATTATAAACATCATAACATAATTCTACGTCATTGTAATTACACTATAACATAGCTGGTAAACATGACATAACACAATATAACATAATACAATATAGCATGACATAACATAATACACTATAGCATAACACAACATAACAATAATAATTATGACACTTGTAGGGTCCACAAGGTGAACATCATCATACATCATATAATTCATTCAACTAATCAAACAGTAGAGTCACTTACATGGTTGGCCTATTAAATATGAATCTACTCCTCAATGTCTAATTCAACCTATGTGGGCCTATGACACAGAATTAAAGTATAATATACGACTTAATTCATCTAAAGTATCAATTAAATCAATTTTTTTGCTAAAAAATAACTTAAATTGATCAAATAGATGTCATACTTACCTCAAATGTTCCTGAAAATGTCAACAAAAAAAAACATCTCCAGAACAGTCCAAAACATTAGAAAAAAAGTCACGAAACTTCAAATAGGTCAAAGGAAAACTAAATACGCTGAATAAGCCGAGTCATAACTGTTGGAGCTATTGAGCCGAATTCAAGGGAGGGCACAATTCACACTAGCGGGTTAGGTCGAGTATGCAGAGTCGAGTCGAGTTGCGAGCCGATGGAAGACTGTGGGCTGGAGTACCGACTACTAGGTCGAATCTTAGGGTGGGCTAGATGGTGAGAGGTTTGGGTCGTGGATAAAGTGGTCGTTATGCTTCTTATAGTTCTAGAAACTCATCGAAGAATCCTTATAGAAAACTACCCATCACACATGGTCAATTTATTTTCCCTTTACATGAAAAAAAGGAAGATAAAAAAAATATAAAATAATAATTCCAAGGTGTAAAATGAGACACACGTGAGAGTAGGAGTTGGGAGTGTGCATGGACTACCTACTCCACGTGTTGAATTGTGTAATCCAACCTCCCTCCATATGCATTCCCCAAAGCCAATAGAAGCCACCCAAATCCAATTCTCTCCCAAATAAAAAATAAAAAATAAAAAATAAATTAAATTAAATAAATTAAAAAGATTTTATTTTCCGCCACTCACAAAAGCTCTTAAGAATCTGCCCTAATATATAAAGATCTGTCCCCTCCAAACAAAAAACCCTATAAATACCTCTTCCCCTTCCTCCCTTCTTCCTCACACATCTCTTTGAATTGTCTCTACTTTTGTCTCTTCTCCCTTGCAAAATGGTGGTTGTTTCCTTGCAAATCCACCGTTTCTCCACCCGCTTCGTCTCCCACGGTGACGTGGCTCGGTGTTGTGTGTATCTGGAGAATGGCGGCGATGACGATGATGACGATGATAGGGTCGACGTTGCGCCCGCCGCGTAATTATACGTACTTGCATTACGAGAGGATGGGGATGTGGGTTCGGTTTCGGGGATTACCTATTAGGGTTTAGGGTTACGAAGGAAAGAAAGTGCTAGTTTAAAGTCTACTATCAAGTGTATCTCTAACTCTTTCTCTTTTTTTTAAGGGGTTTTTACCCTTTTGTTTATCTACTATAGTTTACTATATATAATAACAAGAAAAAAAAAAAACTAGCATTTAGTAGTGTTAAGGATATTTAGTAATAAATTATTGTTTACCATATATATTATATTTGATATTTTATTATAAGGCAAATATCTAATATTTGCTTTATTATCATAGGTATCTTTCCATTTATTGTTATTTCCATTTATTACTATTTCCATATCTTTGTAATTCATTTGATTATAAATAAGATAACTTTCACACCATTTAGGTGTGGTGGATTAATCAAACATTCACATGTTATCAGAGCCCTCTTGGTTTAACAACCCGATTCTTTCTTTTCAATGGCTTTTGAATCATTTAATCTTCTTCTCCACCACCCCTGCTGGTTTTGACGCCGCAGGGGCAGTCTTCATGGCTGCCGTAGTCGGAGCCGATTGATTACTCTTCGGCTCCACCCTATTGACCTCCAAATCACCTTTCGTCATACTCTGTACATACAACCTCACCTTTTCCAACCCAATCGGTTTTCCCCTTGGCCAATATAGTCTCTCTCATTTTCTTCCCAATAAACCTTCATCCTTCACATAAACCCTAACCTAAACTTATCAACCTTTTGCAGAGATTTACCTTCGGAATATGGGTGCCGCACTGGCCTATTCGCCAACCAAGTTGCCGCCGCCCTTCCTGCCAAAATTGGCTTCTTCGCCCGATGAGGCGACTCTTCCGACTGCCCTTCTCGCCAAAATTGGCTCCTTCGCTCAATGTGGCGACTCTTCTGGCTTCAACATTGTCTTTGTCCCTTGCTCTAGGTTTCCCCTTCTACTTCTTGGGGTTAGAAATATTCTCACCAGAGCCAAGACAGCATCGTCGCTAAGCGACAATCCCTCTTCATGGGTTAGACATATTCTCGCCGAAGCCAAGGCAGCATCGCCGCTGAGCGGCGATCCCTCTGCAAATTTTTGATGACCAAGAACCGGGTTGTTAGCATCTTCATGAAAAGTGTTTCTCAACCTTTTTGAATTTTTCAGATTCAAGCTTCACGTTCGTTTAAATCCGACGCTTAGCTTGCGGTGGGGTGTTAAGGATATTTAGTAATAAATTATTGTTTACCATATATATTATATTTGATATTTTATTATAAGGCAAATATCTAATATTTGCTTTATTATCATAGGTATCTTTCCATTTATTGTTATTTCCATTTATTACTATTTCCATATCTTTGTAATTCATTTGATTATAAATAAGATAACTTTCACACCATTTAGGTGTGGTGGATTAATCAAACATTCACAAGTAGGCTTGAGATTTTTTAAAAAAGAAATCTAATACTACAATGATTTTAACGACTTTTGGGTTTTCTCCCATTTTCCTATAGTATTTGTTAGACGAACACGACTCCCTACAATAGTATGATAGTATCCACTTTGAGCATAAGCTCTTATGGCTTTGCTTTGAACTTCCCCAAAATGCCTCATTACAATGGAGAGTGTATTCTTAGATTATAAACCTATGATCATTCCCTAAATTAACCAATGTGGGACATTTTCATCTAACGAAAAAGATTCTTTCGTTTATACTTATTTTAGTTAAAAGATAAATATTGTTTTGTCTTTTTTTCATTATATTCAGTCACTTGAACCCACTTGAATCAGATCTAGACAAATCGAAGCAGGACGAAGGGCAATGACACAAAATATACGATGTAGCGGAAAAATAGAGGTACGTATATTTCCGGACAAACTCGTATCTAAAACTTCCTTTGCCGCTTTTTTTTTTTTTTTTTTTTTTTTACTTCAAGGGTCCTTTCTCTATCTCTCTCATTAACCTGCAGTAATTTCAAAACTACCATAATTCACTCTATGTTTCTCTTACTTGAAGCAGTTAAAAAAAAACTTCCCATATTGACTGTGTTTATCTCTTGCTAGAAGCAGTAAGTGGTAAACAAATTAAACAGTAAAAAAAAGAAAAAGAAAAAACAGTAACTAAAAGTCTCCTCTTGAAAAAATGAAATTTTAAAACCATAATAATAATAATAATAATAATAATAATAATCAAACATGTAGGGCTTAGGTTAGGGTTTGCATGCATGGCTTTAAGGAGAAATCTTAATTAATCAATTTTATATTTTGCTGACTTAAAAAGCACACCAAATCTATCATCAATGATTAGCTAATAATTAATTATTCATTTACTTTTATATATATATATATGAAAATTAATGAATATATAAAAACATTGGAATGTCTTTTTTAGATACAAA